CAGGGGTGGCTTTGGCAGCTGCACAGGTTCTCTGGGCTGGATGGACAGGGGTGGCTTTGGCAGCTGCACAGGTTCTCTGGCCTTCAGCCATCCCAGCCCTGTGGCTGTAGGCAGCAGCCAATTCCTGCTGGGGAAGCAGCAATGTTTCCCACACCAGCCCAAGTGCTCAGCACTGCTGGGAATGTCACAGCATTGTCCTGGAAAATGCAAAGTTGAGGGAGAAGAGTTTGAACTTGAACACAGAACAAGGAGTTGGTGCAGTGGGCTTAGTTTTGGGATGGTTTTTGTTTGTTTGGGGTTTTTTGTTTCTGAGGCAGACTGGAAGGGCAGTGTCCTGGATGCCAGTGCTCACCACCCAGCACAAAGCCACAGGCGCTACAGCGTGTGCTATGTACCTAAACCCCAAACTTTCAAGGAAGTTGAGCGTTCTCTCAGTTCTAAAACATCCCTTTGTTAACGACTGTGTTGCACTTTATGGGAAGACTTGACTGAAAAATTGCAGCTTTTGACTGTAAACTTTTGACTTTTGTCCTGCAGAAGCTGGAAACTGACAATATCTTGCTGAAGAAGGATTTGGCTTTTAAGGATTCCCAAGTGAAAGAATATGAAACAATGCTGGCTTCTCTGAGGGAGAACAACCGTCAGCAGCAGGTACATCAAGAAACATTTCCAGTGTCATTCCAGGCAGCCAAAACGGGGGCAATTTGCTGACTTCTGGTTACTCTGAGGAACTGCTGCCTGCTGTGTGTGTGATGCTGTTCCTCCCCTGAGGAATTCCAGGTGCTCATTCCCCCTGTGCTTTGCAGCAAGGGCTCAGGGACAGCACTGCCAAGTGCCGCTCGCTGGAGGAGCAGCTCCTGTCCCTGCGGCTCAGCGAGGGCGACAAGGACTGCCAGCTGAAGGAGCTGGAGTACAGCAAGAGGGCCCTGGAGCAGGAGATCCAGAGCCTCAAGCTGCAGGTGAGGGCTCACCTGGCTGGGTGCAGGAGCTGAGTGCCAGACTCAGAGGGATCAGTGTAGGGAAACTAACAATGAAAGCATTTTTTGTAAAATAAAATTGGGTTCTTTGTGCAGAGCTGCTCCAGCCCGACCCTGCAGACCACGACAGATGAGCTCTCCAGCCGCTACGTGGAGATGATCAACAACCTCAGGGAGGACAAGGACAGGGAGATCCGCAGCCTCAGGGTGAGGGGCTCTGCTGGTGTGTGCAGGGACAGCTGCTCCTGCACTTGGAGCAGCAGAGATCTTCCACAGGCACTTTTTGGGTGTCTTCTGGCTGTGCAGTTACTTTACTCACAGACACTGGTGATGGTTTAGCACCTTTATAGTAGAACATAAAACCGTGATTTCAAAAAAACCCAACTGTTCTTTACATGAAAAAATTACGGATCAACCTGGTTAGTGGGCTGTGCTAGAGAGATATTTTGTGTGTCCTGATAACATAAGAAATTAGTCAAAATATGCTTAATAGGAAACAAAAAATTAATCCCAGTCACTGCTGTATGTAGGAAATCTCTCTCATGGAAATCAATGGTAAAAATCTCCAGCTCTGAATGCCAATTCAACTGGTTCAGTGTTGGTTTAGCTTGAGAATTGTAAAATCATTAATTTAATACTGGGTAGAATTCAGTCCAGTTAGCACTTTCTGAATTTACTGTGTGGCTCAACTTCCTGACCTGAAAATCCCTGGGCCTCACTGTTGGTGGTGTTAATGAAATGCCACCCCCAGAGCCTTGGGTGGGTGCTGAGGGGCCCTGCCCAGAGCCCCCCACACCTGAGAGCTGCTGCCTTGTTCTGCAGTCCCAGCTGTGCCAGGTCCAGCAGGACATAACCAGGAGAGAGGGGAGCAACAGCGACTTGCAAATGAGGCTGCACGAACTGACATCGCTGCTGGAGGACAAAGAGGCTTTTATTAAACAACAGCAAGAGGTAAACTGATACAAGTTATTCCTCTGAGGGTTTTTGTGTTTAAGCCTCCATGTACTGTGTAGGTGGAACCTTACCAGGAAGTCCCTTGTCCTCTCCTGGCTCAGGAAAGGGGGTCAGGATTTGTTCTACCTGAATGCTGTTTTCTCTGCCAGCCTTCTGGAAGGGCAGATTTTCAGACTGTTGAGACAAATTTCTGCAAATATTTTGTTGTGGCTTTAGTGAACTGATACTTCAGAAAACATGACTTGACATCAGTGTTTGCTTTTGGTTTTGTCAGGAGCTCTTCAGACTGAAGCATGACAAGTTTTCGGGCAGTCAGTCCCCTGGGGTGACAGCCATCATCACCAAAAAGTAACGTGTTATTCACCTTTTTTAGAAACACATCCTTTGGGCTTTCCTTTGTTTAGACCCTCTTAAGCAACTTTTTCAACTCTCTGCAGGTACAGGAACCAGTATCCTATTCTGGGTCTCCTGTCTGATGACTACAAGGTCACATCACCTGTCAATAAATCACAAACGATTGTAATTGAGAGGACTGGAGAGATCTGGAAACATGTAAGTTACCTGGAGATGGACTGTTCCCTCTGCAATCCCTAAGTGTTCAATTTAACTTCAAAGCAAATATTCCCCAAACTGAGAGCTCAGCGATGCCCTCGTGGTAATTTAACTGCAAAAAGCAAAGTGACTGCAGCCAGGGAACTGTCCTGGCTCTTGGAGCAGGCAGTAATTGGTGGGTGTGGTACAAATAAAACCTTTTGTTGTTTTCTCTGGCACGTAATTACCGTGAACAAAAGCATCAGCGCTGCTCTAACAGCGGCCCCGGGGTGTTGCTGTACCGGGCAGGTAGGCAGGGGCTGTGTCCTGCTGTGCTCTCGGTGAGCAGGGATCTGGGAGGAATGTGCTCCTCTGCGTTAGGAACATTAATGACTCCAAGCCATTACTAAAACACACAAAGCACCCCATCCCTGAAACTCACCCTGAGCCAGGGCAGTGACAAACCCAGGAATGCAGAAGAGTGGTGACATTTTAAGGAGTGATTCAGAATAAAAATAGAAAACAGGGCTGCAGAAGCTATTTCTGTTCCAGGCAGGGCTCGTGGTGCCAAGTCTGGCTACAAGGTAAAGGCTGGAGAAATGGCAGGGTGGCCAAGCTGGGGTGGTGGTGGCTGCAGGCACAAGGTCACAGCAGCACCTGGACACAACCACGGGGGGGACACAGCCAGGGGACAGCTCTGGGACAGCCTGAGCAGATGCAGGTAACACACCTGGCCTGTCCCTCAAGGGGACCTTGCCTGCAGCAGGATTAAAAAAGCAAAAGGCTCAGGGCACTGGCAAAGAGCAGAGTTTTATTACTGATCCCTAAACCTCACCCAGGTGCATTGCAACCTAGTGAAATGTCAAGCAAGGAAACAGCAACAGAGAAATAAAAAAAGGAAGTGTTTGGTACAGAGGAAAGGCTCACAGGTCCCCTTGGACACTGTACAAGAGAAAACAAGTAGGTAATTAAATGAGATGCTTTATGGGAGATAGTTCTGTTTCATAACAGAAACAGGTTTGTGTATTTCTTCTAACAAGCTGCTTGTTTCTTTTAGGAATGAGAGAAACCTCTGAGCCCTCAGAGCTGCTCCAAGGAGTTCACAAACCACTAAAACTGCTTTACTTTCTGCTCTTCTGCATCCAAGAAAAGGTTCAGTCTGATAGTGAGGAAGGCTGGGAAAACATTAAGGACTCACTTTTTCCTCGGAGGAGTGGGATGCTTGGGATCCCTGTGTGGACTTCAGCTGTTCTTGACTAGCTCCTGTTCTTCAGGCAGCCCTCAGGCAACCTAGGAGACAAAAGGAAGACACCTGAAACCTTTTCCTCTTGGTCCTTGTAGCCATGTTCTGTCTCTTCATGCTGAGAGTGGGAATGACCCCGATGTCAGCCCCACCCCTCCCACAGCTGCTTTCAGTGCAGAGTCACAGGCTGCACGGGAACTTCACAAATACCTCACTGGGAACTGCTCCTCTCCCTACACCTGCCTCTGTCTGGGAAGCTCGGACACAAAGGACAAAACTTCATCAAACCCAGCTTCTGACCTGGCAAATGCCAGCAGGACCCAGTTCAGTGAAGGGCTGGGACAAGGTTTATTTTAGAGAATGCTTCTGCCCTCAGAGGTGATGTATTTTCAGCCCCAAACCAGCTGTATTTATTTGCTGTGCTTCAAATTTTCAAGAACTTGGTATATTTTTATATAGAAGAACTTTGTGTGAGAATAACTCATGGACTAAATTTCCTTATCAGACCAACCTGCCATTTACAATTTCCACTCCTTGAAGGACCACAGAAATTCTTTCATTCTGATTTGGTGTTCATGATTCAGTAGTTGTCTGAGCAACACAGCACAGAGAAAGTTTGCAATGCTGCAATCCAAAGGTGCTTTTTTATTGTGGGGTTCTTGCTTTGCTTTCCTGCTGCAGCCATGTATTTCTGTTCCCAGATACTATAGACCCTAGGCAATGTTTAATGGGGAAAGAATGCTGGAGGCTACCTGTAACCATGAAATAAACCCAAGTCTAACTCTCTGGATCATTGTCTGTCTGTCCTGGAAACATCTTGTGTACAGCTGGAGGGAGGGGGTGTAGGTGGTGTCTTGTTCCTCTCCATGAATCTTTACAAGTGAAGGATTGGGGCTCTCAGGTGCTGCTGGATGTCCAGCTGGCCTTGTGCTCTTTAGGATTGGGCAAAGAGTCACGAGTAAAACCTGTTCCTGCTGCTGCTCTTTGAGTGTGTGCAGGCTGAGATGGGCCTGCAGTTTCACCAGCCTGGCTTTAACTACTTAAATAACCTCATTTGAATGAGGAGTGCCTTGCCTTTGCATTCAGTAATTATTCTAAAAGAGATTCTAAAGCAACCCCCTTTTCTGCAGAGCAGTGAATAAAAGGCACATCTACACTCAGAGCTAACATGCTCCTGCCACGGGCCAGTGGCAGTGCAATAAATCATTTGAGTTACACTGTCACCTTTGGTGATCTGAAACACAAAAAGGACTAAAGCACCCTGTCTGTTCAATGGCTGTTCAATGGCATCAGTTACCTGTGCAGGGCTCTGGGTGCAGCTGCTCCTTGTGCTCCCACCAGGGCTGGGGGTTCTCACAGCTCAGGCCAAGCTACAAAGAGCAGAAATGGGAGTTATTGATGGTTCCTGATGGCTCATCCCAGCCATGGAGTTCCTGAGCAGCCCCTCAGTGACACCAACCTGTGTTTCCTCCATCCATGGCACAGCACAGGAACTCCTTAAGGAGGGACAGGGCTGAGAGCAGGAGCTGCTGGGTGTGGTGACAATTCCATGGCAAAGGCCACCATCAGGCAAATCTCTTTTTAAGTCCAGCTGATCCATCCCAGTGCAAACACCATCCTGGGGCAGCCAGGGAAGCTGCAGCCTGCATAGAAAAAGCCCAGGCTGCTGCTCAGGCCAGCCAGCTCTGTCCTGGGACAAGGACAGCTCCTCAAAGAACCTGAAGGTCACCAGACCCTGTAAATGCTACAGAGAAGAGACTGTAACTACACTTTGTACTCACAGAAAACACAAAGCAATTGTCAAAAAGCTGAATTACACTAGTAGATAAAGCATATGGCCATTTACTTATAGGCTGGTTTTGTTTTCAAACCATATGTATTTAAAAAGCAAATTTAGTATTTTTTACTATGAAGTACCTGTTACTGTGGGCTCAGCTGTCCCCTCTTGGCTGTGGAACTGGAACTGATTTACCTAATGTGGTTTCTGCTGAAGTTTACAGAAAAACATTTTCTTATTTACTCAGCTCTGTAAACCCTGGTTAGAAACATTTTACTTTAGCTCATTTTCCACCTCAATTTCAAGTAGCTTCACCAGGACTTCTACATTCATTTTTTCTAGGAACAAATTAGAAAGAAGTCAGACACTATTTACTTTATAAAATTACAACAATATGCACACTTCCCTGTCTTTATCTGTCAGAAGGCAGAGTCTTGTTTTGCACTGAAAAGGAGAAAACTGTCTTTGTTTTGCCTGACCTTTCTGCAGTATTGAAGTTGCTCTGCCTCAGCTGTAAAATAAAAGCCAGACAGCCCTGGCTGGGAAGTCCACACCCAGTACCTCACCTTTACCTGCAGAGTTTTGCTGCAGCTCTTCCTCATTTTCTCTCTGATTTATTGCCTTTAATTGTGGGCAGTTGAAACCTGAGGAAAGAAAAACATAGCTGATGATCAAGATGTGAATCACTTTTAACTGCATCTGTCAGCCCAATAAAAAGCTGCACCAAACAGATCTGACATTTCAGAGCAAGCCCTGCACACCTTTGGGAGGCTCTGTTTGCTCAAGCACCCCTGACCTGTCACAGCTCTCAAATATTTACTGGGACAGGGCACTGAGAAGGATTTGGGAACTGTCCCTCAAACTGCTGAGGACTCAGGTGCCATTTTATCCTTCCATTTCAGAAGCTTTAAAACACCACTTCCTAGTAAAATCTTATGTCAAGAACAGCAATCTACCTCCTGTTTTGATACAGAACAATTAATTACCTGATTATTTGGTCCGTCTGTAGGGTGGAAAAATGAGCCAGCACAGCCATGGGCAGTCAGGGATCATCTTCAGGTGAAGAAACTCCTTCAGTCCCTGTATTCAACATAACATTCAGGAACAAAGCACTGACATTGTCAGAAATCCACAGCCTTAAATCACTAAGATTTTGATTTTTTCCCTTCTGACTGCTGGGCATGCAAGGAAAAGCAGCAACAAAACCCAAATGAATTAATTCCTGTCTGCTTAATTTCTGCTCTTTGTGCAAAACCTACGAGTTCAGTGGCTCAAAGCCCATTGGAAATCCTCAGTGAAGGGTTCATTTAATAGCACATGTTCTTCTTCAGCTTTTTAATCTCTTACTGATGGTGCAATTCAAGTATTCTAAAAAGAGAGGGAATTTAGGATAGCAGAGTTTTTAGCATTTCATTCTGCAAGCTGTTATTACGTAATTAAAAAGACAAAAACCTACCTGGTTATTCCCAAAATATGTGAGAAGTTTTTTGTTCTCTTGAAGGAAAAAAATTCAAAGGAATGTCAGCATCAGATTTGATAATTATTTTAGAAATAAGCAAAACAAACACAAATACATTACCTGTGAAAGAGTTTAAAACCCAATGTTCTCTCCTTAACAGTCTGATAAATACACCTGCAGTAACCTGTTTACTTGAAATGTGATTACATGTTAATTAGTGAACAATGCAATTAAAAACATCAGGTGAATTTACAGAGAATGGGACTTTCCTAAACACCATAAATGAAAAGGAAACTCCAAAAAATCTGGAGTGCAAGAGATGCGTTTTATTGTATGCCCGTTACGATGAGTAACACATTTAGAAATAATAATCCCACAGAACAGTGACAATCTTATTTTACAGCGTGTACATCATTTTTTACAGCCACATAAAACACTTATTTGTCTAAGAGATTTCCCAAATTTTAACTTTCTGAAGTTTAGAAATATAAAAAAAATTTATTCTCAAGGAACTGATTCTCATCTGGTGCAAAAACAAAATATGAACATTATCTGGAACACAAAGCCACAATATAGCATGAAGTTACAATTTCTCATGTGAACAGCTGTGTGCAAACATGAAGCAACTAAAAAAAGTAAAAAATACACATTATATGCATAACATTTATGACCAGGTTTTTCATTAAATAGCCCTAGACCAGCTCGTTATATAAGCGCCATTGGATTTGCAGCATGCTAACACAAAGCATTTTTAAAGGGATGCATATTTTAAATGTATACACTGTAAACTCAAGATCCACCTCCAAACTCTAGTGGCAGCAGGTTTTTCTGGTTAAATACTGCATATATACTTTCTTACAGATTGAAAATGCATGTTTATAGCATGGTATAGATCTTTTTTTAAAAGAATCGATTAAAAGGTGCAATTTTATGTCTATATGGAAAATTTCATATTAGGAGGTAGGACAGTAACTGTCATACCTGTTAAGAACACTGCCCTAAAGAACCTCTAAGTACTTTGAATTTTTAATTAAAAAACCCCTACAGTTTTCAACTGTTTTTAATATTCTTTTTAGAGAAGACTTTAAAGTAGCAAGGAAAAAAATTAGTGTTGAGTCACAACACTATGAGCTGCATCCATTTTTATCCTTTAAAAAAAAAGTCAAATTCAAAGTTAATTTTGTTATATGTGCCATACTGAACAACATTCAACTGTAGTTTCAGATAAAAAAAGGGAAATTATATACATATACATCTTTAACCCTAGCACCAGAACACCACCTCTGAGACCATAACATAATGCTCTATTTTAAACATCATATCCTGCAATAAAATAGGTTAGCAGCTTTGAAAACCAGTAAAAAAATGCTTCTTGGACCTAAACTAATAAAGGAAACCAAAAAGTTTCCTTATGAAATGTTTAAAAACAAAAACCAAACCAAACCCAACAAGGGACACCCCCCCCCCAGATAATTTTGCCAGTTCTGGAATTCAATTTCTAGGCACAATTGAAAACGTTGTGATGAAGTGTCTGACTAAAACTCCCCGTTCCAAACTGCACAAGAAGTGAAGAGGGGGCTCCTCTGCAAACCCTCTGTAGCTCACCCCACCAGGGATCTGTTTCCATACTGGAGACACACGCTGGGACTGACAGAATGGGCCACACAATCAGCTCTGCCCTGTCCTCTAGACTCAGCAATGGCAAATACTGTTCACTTGGAGACATTCATCCATCTTTCTGCAAATTTAAGACATTCATCCATCCTCTGCATTCTCTAGTGCTCTTTATGTTCTGATCAGCAACAATCATAGGGCTATGAGTTCCCCTGCCAACCCTAATACTTTTTAAGACTTTTAATACAAAGAATGTAAAGTTATGGTTTAATATCAAGCTTTGAAACCAGGAGAAACAGTTCGTGAGATTTATTTTTTTCCCCAATTAGCACATGACAGTTCCTACACGGCTTCCTGCTGGAGCTCACCTATCACAGGATGGCCTCTTTGTGGTGCCTCATGATGTGCTGATTTTTCTCGGAGGGCCTGCGGAAGCCCTTTTTGCAGAACTCACACCTGTGGGGGTAGTCTTTGGTGTGGATGGAGATGACGTGGCGCTTAAAGCCCGACGCGTCCGTGGTGCTGTACTCACAGTACTGGCACTGGTACACCTTCCTGCCACTGTGGGTCTTCATGTGCTTCTTCAGTTCGTTCTGCTGCCTGAAGCCCCTTTTACACCGTTTGCATTTAAAAGGCAGGTCCTTGGTGTGCACGGAGAGGATGTGCCCACTGAGCACAAAGGGGTCGGAGGTTTTGAAGTCACAGTGCCTACACTGGTGGATCTTTTTCCCTTTATGGGTCTCGCTATGCTTTTTGAGCTCCGAGGGCCGGTGGAAGCCTTTCTCACACACCTCACACTTGTGGGGAAAATCCTTGGTGTGCACTGAAATGATGTGTCGCTTCAGGTCGCTGGAGTTGGTGCTCTTGTGGTCACAGTGGGGACACTGGTGAGTCTTATGGCCTTGGAAGAGCTCGGTGTGCTGCTGCAGCTCCTTCTCGTCGGCGAAGGCCTGGGGACAGTGCTCACATTTAAAGGGCAGGTCGGTGCCGTGTTTGGTTTTGATGTGAGTTTTCAGGTTGGACTGGTCAGCGCACCTGAACACGCAGTGCTGACACTGGTATGGCTTTTCCCCTGTGTGGGTCCTCATGTGCTTTTTCAGCTCCGAGGGGTGGCGGAAGCCCTTCCCGCACTCCACGCACACATGAGGGAAGTTCTTGCTATGGACTGCCAGCAGGTGCCTGTTGAGCAGCCCCTGCTCTGCAGTCTCATAGTCACAATATTTGCACTTGTGGAGCTTGGGCTCCTTGTCCCTCAGGATGAGTTTATTGGAACTCAACGGGCTCGCCTCTCTGTATCTTCTCGTGTACTCTGTAAACTCGTGCGTTTTATCAACTTTATTTATAAGTTTATGGCTTTCCAGATGATTGTGGAAACTTACTTTTTTGTTAGTTGTAAAGTCACAGTCTGTACACTGGTATTTCTTCTTGATCATATGATCGGGATGGTTCTTCATATGCCTTTTCAAGAATCCTCTGGATTTAAATTTTTTCCCACAAATATGACAAGGGTAAACTGTTAAGGGCTGTCCATCAGGACCTATTATAACAGCTGTTTTTGAACAAACAAAAACAAGTTATGAAGGAAACACATTTACTGATTAAGAAGTTTTAAATCAGCCAAGTGCTGTTCAGATTCATGCACTTACACTTGCAGCAGAGAGAGAGTGGCTCAGTAGTTTAAAAACAACCAATCCACAGCACCTATAGTTTATATAGTTCTGTTTTAGAAACTGCTCAAACAGATCAGGAATATCACATGTGCACTGAATATAGCCATGGGTACTTTTTAATAGCTTGCAACATTCCAATGAATTGCATCAGCCCTGGGTGTACTGACTCTGAATAGCAAAATATGACATTTTCTAGGCACAGAACTGGAGGGGGGAAGGACACAGGAAATACGCAAATCATCATTTATAGCTTTTAATTCTGCATCAGCTTAAAAAAGAGAAAAGGAATAGGACAGGAGTCAGTGGCACTCCGTGACAATACCGTAACCATCCAGTGTTTACCTGTTTGCCATTGCCTGGCCTCTCCTCTCCTCCTTTTCTTGGTTTTTTGTTTGAGCACTCTATTAGTGCTAATGCTATCACAAATCTGCAGGTACTGTGTTGCATTACCGTTTTTGTTTTCTAATCGTGTATCCAAGTTATTTCCTAGAAACAAAAATTAGACACCATAAAAAACCTTAAACAACTTGTTTCTTTGGGACTGATGACTGGAATTGCACAGCAGCATTATCTACTTAAAAACAAGCACTGCCCATTCCTCTACCACAAGATACATTAAAAAGAAGTGTGCTACTGGGAACCACTATCTATCTTTCCTGGCAAAAGTCAAGGGTATGATTGTTTAAACACTGATTCATTTCTAATTATATTCCCTGATTTTTATTTAACTTGTTTTCACTTCATACAACTGCATTATCTCTCTTCTGTCTGCAAAACTACGTTAAAAACTTGGCAGTGCCT